CGTTTGATCAGTTTGATCAGCTTGGCCAGCTTGATCTAAAGGGCTACTGCCCCTACCCACTTGCCCCGCCTCATCGTGATCAGTTGATCAGTAGATCAACGCTTGTCCGCTGCTCGTCTCTGACCGAAATACCATTGAAAGCAAAAGAAGAAAGTTCAGCTCATCTGTGGCATGCCGTTTAGAATTTGCCCGCTTTTCACGATTATGAACATCACTTGGCCGGCTCAGGCTGCTGCCTTTTAATTCACTTGATTTAATTTACCGAGTCGTTTAGAGTCTTAAACTTAAAAAGAAGTCAGTGAGCGTTCCACGAAATTTCACTTTGAAGAATGCATTAAACGCAAACGCTCAGCATCCGGTCCGGGGGCCCTTAGGCGGCACATACTGCATTATTTATGATGCAAAGTGGGGCGCAGCATCAGCATCAGCATCAACAGCAGCGGCAGCAGCGTCTGCATCAAGGGCGTTACTGCAGCAATTTCGTGAAAGTCGCGGAAGCTGTCAAAGCCTCAGGTTTCGACGTTATCCTCCAAATAAGAAAAACAAAAGTAGAGAAAAATTGGTAAAAAGAGGTACTGAAAAAGCGAAAGGGCTGGGCACACGTGCGCCGGAGCTAAGATCGAGACAGAAAACTGCAATTTTTTGGTCGATTCATTTTTATTTCATTTTTTCTTTCGGTTTTTTTTTTTTTTTTTTTTTTTTTTTTTTCTGCTGAACCTCTTTCTCCCTTGTACTAAAACATTTTTTTCTGCTTTTGGCAAGTTTCTCAAGACTCGCCGAAACCCTTTCTCTTTCGAAAGAAAGTCGTGTGAATCGGCTTCAAGCTTAAGCAGGCAGATGAAAGAAGTAAATTCGGCAAGTAAGTGCAGTTGTTTTTCACAAATTATATAACTGGCGACTGACTCTGCAGAGCTTTGCTCGTATTGCGCCATCATTTGTTTACACTTGGCCATCAATTATTCAATCGTAGCTAACTTACATAAAACAATAACAACAGCAGCATCCACATGAGCTCGGCGACTAATAATTTATTGAGTAAATGCTGCAATCAAAATTGTCGCCGTGAGCTGTCTCTTAACGCTTTTGTCTCGATCCAGTTAGCTGTAAATGTTGATTACGACCGTTGTATTAGATAATAATTTAATATGTACCATATGCGTAGCTCGCATCTATAACTGTCTGCCTCCATCTGTATCAGTATCTGTATCCGTAGCCGTGACTCGTCTTCTTGCTGCATATCTGTGAGGCGGGCAGTCGTAATGGAAAGTGAAAGTGTGCCCAGAGATTTGTATTCGTGCATTTTTAATTTGTATCTTAAAGTCGACGGCCAGACCAACTGTTGCTAAAATGTCGAAATACTCACATATATGCTAATGCCAATCTCCATGGCAGCCAAGCGGCGATTACAACAGCCGCAGTAGCTGTAAATTTCTCATGTGACATGGCCTGGCCCTCACCTCCGCCACAAGCGAATTCCGGCTGATCGGTCATAGTTAGCAATGACTGTCATCTAGCCGACCCCGATTAATGACAGAGTTCACCTAGCAACAAATACAGCTACATTTGCATCTGTTAGATACGCAAATGTTTGGCGTAATTAATTCAGTTGAAGCTCTCATTTGTTTAATTTCGATATTCATCTTTTCCCATTTAAATCTGCATTTAGATCTTGTCATCAACTGCTGAAACTTTCCGAATTCGCTTTCAAACTGGAGTTGCAATAAATATGTTTTTTTTTTTTTTTTTTTTTGCAGCTTTAGCTCTCTATGTATTCAAATGCAAACGGGGACAGCATAGATTTTTACTTAAGAAGATAATTCCACAAAATTATTGCTAATAATATATAATATAGATAACGATGTTTTTTAGAAAGAGATTAATTATAATTAAATATTATGCAGGTGAAACTCATTATTATATATTATTTA